GGTGATGCTGATGATGATGATGATGATCATGATGTTGCTTCTGATGATGATGCAGATGATGATGATGATGATGATGATGATGATGATGATGATAACGATGATGATGATGATGATGATGATGATGATGATGATGATGATGATGATGATGATGATGATGGTAAGGCTGATGATGATGATGCGGATGAGGATGACGATGATGATGATGATGATGACGATGCTGACAATTATGATACTGATAATGATGCTGCTGAGCATGACCTTGCTGATGGTGATGGTGCTGATGGTGATGCCGGTGATATTGCTGATGATGGTGGTGATGATGGTGCGGATGCTGATGATGCTGATGATGATGACGATGCTGTTGATGATGATGACGATACTGCTGATGACGATGACGATGATTCGATGACGACGATGATTGTGATGATGATGCTGATGATGCGGATGCGGATTATGCTGATGATGCTGATGATTATGCTGATGATAGTGACGATGATGAAGACCATGATGATGACGACGTTGACGATGACGTTCATGATGACGATTATGCTGCTGCCGATGATGATGATGATGATGATGATGATGATGATGATGATGATGAAGAGGCACCTGATAATGATGATGCTGATGATGATGATGATGATGATTCCGATGATGAGTACGACAATGATGACGATCATGACGGTGATGATGAGGAGGATGAAGATGATGAGGATGACAATGATGATGATGATGATGATGATGATGATGATGAGGATGAGGATGATGATGACGGACGAGGTTGATGAGGATGATGATGATGATGATGATGATGATGTGGATGATGGGGAGGAGGAGATTGAGGATGATGATGGCGATGATGACTTTGATGACGAGGATGATGATGACGATGATGAGGATGATGAGGATGGTGATGATGAGGATCATGAGGACCATGATGATGCTCATGATGATGCTGACGACGATGAGGAAAATGATGATGAAGACGATGATGACGATGACGATGCTGCCGATCATGACGATGATGATGCCGATGACGGCGACGACGATGATGATGATGACGATGATGACGAGGCTGATGATGATAATGTTGATGACTACGATGATGCTGATGATGATGATGATGCTGGTGGTGACGGTGATGATGACGATGCTGATGATGCTGCTGCTGATACTGATGATGATCAGGATGAGGATAATCATGATGACGATGTCGATGTCGATGTCGATGATGATGATGATGATGATGGTGATGATGATGATGATGATGATGATGATAACGATGATGATGACGATGATGATGATAGTAATGCAGGTACTGATGATGCTGATGATGATGACGATGATCATCATGATGGTGCTGATGATGATGATGACGATGCCGCTGATGATATCGATGATGTTGATGATGATGATGATTATGATTTATTTTGCTGATTATGCTGATGATGCTGCTGATGATGATGACGCTCATGTTGCTGACGATGATGATGATGACGATGATGATGATGATGACGATGATGCTGACGATGCTGGCGATGATGATGATGATGATGATGACGATGATGACGGTCATGATGATGATGATGCTGATGATGATGCTGATGACTATGTCGACGGCGGTGAGGATGCCGATGATGGTAATGATGAAGATGAAGATGATGATGCTGCTGCTGATGATGATGCTGATGATGATTATTATGACGATGATGACGATGATGACGTTGACGATGACGATGTCTATGATGATGCTGATGATGATGGTTGCTGATGCTGATGGTGACGGTGATGATGCTGTTGCTGATGATGGTGATTCTGCCGATGAGGAGGATGATGATGCTGATGCTGGTGCTGATGCTGCTGCTGCTGCTGATGCTGCTGCTGCTGCTGCTGATGATGATGATGATGATGATGATGATGATGATGATGATGATGATGATGATGATGATGATGTGAAGACGTCTGAGGGGAGCACAGGAGCAGGATCAACATCGTGTGCGGTTCGAGGGGAACACGGGACACGGGAGGAGGAGGAGGAGGAGGAGGAGGAGGCGGAGGAGGAGGAGGATGAATCGGCTGATGATGAGGATGATGTTGATGATGATGATGATGATGATGATGATGATGATGATGATGATGATGATGATGATGAGGAGGAGGAGGAGGAGGAGGAGGAGGAGGAGGAGGAGGAGCAGCAGGGGAATAGCCGGACGAGTATCGTAGTATCGTGTTCGGCTCGAGAGGAGTTCTGGGGGAGGAGGAGGAGGTGGATGACTCGGATGATGATGAGGAAGAGGAGGAGGAGGAGGTAGAGGATGAGGAGGGGAAGAGCAGGACGAGTATTGAACGAGCTTCCCAGCTGCTTCGTTTTGTTTCAAAAGACGTGACCCTGGTTGCCGCGTTTTTCTGGTGGCCGCTCGGCCTCCTATGGGTTCTGATGGATTTCTATGGCTCCCCCCCGCCAACCCTGCCAGCCCCATTTTTTTCCCAACCATCCTGTGGTGTTGGGTTCTCGTTTTGAAAAGACAGCGCCCCTCGTTCCTTTCCTCCTCCTCCTCCTCCTCCTCCTCCTCCTCCTCCTCCCTCCTCCGCCTCTGTGCCTCTGCCCTCCGCATGTTTCTGTTTCGGCAGGTCCCTCACTTGTTTCGTGGCCCCATAGGGAGCTCCACCGAATGCCCTGTAGCAGGGTTCGCATGCGGTTCCACCCTCATTTCGGCACACCCCTCACGCTTTTCGTGGCCCCCTAGGGATCTCCGCCAGATTCCCCAGTGGCAGGGTTCGTATGCGATTACACCTTCATTTCGGCACACCCCTCACGCTTTTCGTGGCCCCCTAGGGATCTTCACCAGATTCCCCAGTGGCAGGGTTCGAATGCGGTTACACCCCAGTTTCGGCACACCCCTCAAACGTTTCGTGGCCCCCTAGGGAGCTCCGCCGAAGGCCCCAGTGACAGGGTTCGCATGCCGTTCCACCCTCCATCTCGGCACACCCCTCACACGTTTCGTGGCATCATCGGGCGCTCCACCGAAGGCCCCAGTGTCAGGGTTCGCATGCGGTTCCACCCTCCATTTCGGCACACACCTCACACGCTTCGTGACCCCATAGGGAGCTCCACCGAAGGTCCCAGAGGCAGGGCTCGCATGCGGTTCCACCTCCAATTTCAGCACATCCCTCACACGCTTCGTGGCCCCACAGTGAGCTTCGCCGAAGGCCCCAGTGGCAGGGTTCGCATGCGGTTCCACCCTCCTGTTCGGCACACCCCTCACACGTTTCGTGGCCCCCTAGGGAGCTCCACCTGATTCCCCAGTGGCAGGGTTCGCATGTGGTTCCACCCTCATTTCGGCGCACCCCTCACGCGTTTCGTGGCCTCATAGGGTGCTCTACCGAAGGCCCCAATGGCAGGGTCCGCATGCGGTTCCACCCTCATTCCGGCACACCCCTCACATGTCTCGTGGCCCGATAGGGGGCTCCACCGAAGGTCCCAGTGGCAGGGTTCGCATGCCGTTCCACCTCCATTTCGGCACCCTCGCACGCTTCGTGGCCCCATAGGGAGCTCCACCGAAGACGATGCTCACAACTGCGGCACCCACAGCTGCACATTGTAGGGTCCTTCGCCAGGCTAATCCTGGTTGCCTCTTGGATTCCTGTGGACTCCGGTGCCTCCCCCCCAGGTTGCGGCACTTTTTCCGTTGGCCGCTTGGTTTCCTGTAGTGTCCAATTGATTCCTATGGCTTCCCCCCGACTGGCTCTGTTTTCCGCGCTTTTGCGTGGCTGCGCGAGTTCTGATCGGCTCCTGTAGATTCCTATGGCTTCATCCCATTGGCCCATGACTGCTGTACTTGCGGTCGCTTAGGTTCTTGGGCTTTAATGGATTTCTTCTACTCGCACTAGTTGCACCTCAAACATTCTACCCCTTCTCTTGCAACCCATGTGCCCGCGTACAGTGGAGACCCGTGTCAAGAGACACCCTGCTCGCCTCCAGGGTGCCCTGGGTTTCTTAGGTTTCGAGGGTTTTGCCGTGCAAAGCGTGACGTCCCCGCGCCAAAGACTTCCACAGACGTCCTGGGGTCTCAGGGGTGGGTTTCTTGCCGAAGGGCTCTTGTGGCCGGGCCCCTACCGTAGATGCAGTCCGCAGCCGCTCGGGCTCCATGGGGCCGGCGCCTTCCTCTGGGCTTCGACGCGGGGGAGCGGCTCCGTCGGAGGAGCTGCGTGGCGGGGGCCTCCAGGGCGGGGTGCCGCCGACGGTGTGCTCCCCTGCCCGAGGCCTCCCCCCGCCACGGAGCTCCCCCACGGAGGCCCCGGGCCGGCCTCCCGCCGGGGCACCCCTCGCGAGGCCGCGCGAGGGCCGCGCGAGGGACCCCCGGCAGGGCGCCACGAGCTGGGGACAGACTCCCAGACCTCCCTGCGGCGTGACGAACCTCGCGACGGGAGGTGCCTCCGCTGCTTTCGGCCTCCGGGGGCCCCTCCCGGGCCTCGGGACCGTCCCGAAGCGCCTCGGGACGAGAGACCGGTCCCCGGGGGAAGGGGTCTCCGGACCTCTGGTCCGAGACGTGCTGCTTCTGCTTCAGGAACTCCCCATGCCACGGCGCCTGCGAGCCGCGCCGCGCTCCTTTTCGCCCTGGCGTCGCAGCGTCGTCTGGCGTGGCCCTGCCCCTATGAGGAGGAGGAGGAGGAGGAGGAGGAGGAGGAGGAGGAGGAGGAGGAGGAGGAGGAGGAGGAGGAGGAGGGAGGAGGAGGAGGAGGAGGAGGAGGGAGGAGGAGCCTTTCTGCGGCAAGTTGCTGCTGCGGGCGGTGGTGGTGTGTAGAACTTGGCCTCGCAGCCGGGGGGCCGACGCCGCGATACAGAGAGCACGCACGCCGGGGGGGCAAGCACCCCTGCTCCTTAGAAGGTGCGGGCCTTCTCTGTAGATGTAAGGCCGGCGCCTTCTAAGAAGCAGCCTGCTTCTAAGAAGCCTTCCCCCCTCCCCCTACCCCCCTCTGCGCGCCGCCAACGCCCGCAGGCCGGCCCCGGCGACTTCCCCACCCTGGGCACGCCCACCGCCGCGGGGCCCGGCGCCGACGCGGCCCAGGAGAAGGAGAAGGTCGGACGGGGCGAGGACGAGGACAGATCCGCCCCGGACCCAGACCCCCTCGAGGTGTGACAAAAATCACGGCGGGAGGTTTTCCATTATTTTCGGCCTCCAGGGACCCTTCCCAGGCCTCGGTCGGGACCGTCAAAAAACGACTCAGGATGAAAAACCGGTTCCGGGGAACGGGTCCAGACCTCTGGGGGTCGACGTTGAGAAAGAATCACGACGTCGAGGGTCTGGGGAGCGAGAGCGTTCTGGAACGCTCGCGGCGCCCGAGACGTCCTCCAGGAGCCAGATCTCAGAGATTCTCGATTTTTGTACCCCCACGCGGATTTCTATCCTCGTCCTGGCTTCGTCTTGGAAGGAGACCCCCGCGCAGTCCACCCCCAAGTGGGGCCCGCGCAAGGACCCACCGCCGCCTGCGGCGGCACAGGCGGCGCCGCGGCCCGCGGCGGCCCAGGTGGCCCCGCCAGCGCCGGCAGTGGTGCAGGCGCCAGCGCCCGCGCCAGGGCCGCAGCCCGTCGCAGCGGTGCTCGGCGGCGTGCCAGAGGGGGGGGCAGGACGCAAGGGGGGGGGCGGCCTTCTATCGCAGGCCTAGAGGTTGAGATCAGCACCAGCATCGGCGGTGTGCCTCCACCGAGGGAAGAAGATCCCGATCTCGGCGATGGTGGTAAGATTCAGGCTTCCAAGGTGTCCGAAATATTACCACCAACACCGACATCTAGGATCATCTTCCCCTGCGGAGGCAACCCCCTGTGTTGATGTTGGTGTCCATTTTCAGCCCTCCAATTCTAGGAGGGCACCCCGCCTCGCGGAAGTCGTGGTGGAGCGTCTTTCCGAGAAGCAGCTTGCTTGCCGAGTCCCGCGTCCCATGCCTTCGACGGTGTGCTTGTGTCACGGTGTGGGCCCCCTAAGGTCTTGTCCCCTTCGCCGGGATATGCTTTTCCGCTTGCAGCGTTTTGTTGACCGTCCCTGGGCCTGCTAAGGGCCAATCATTTGCCGTAGTGTATTCTCACAACCAAAGTGTGGTTTTCTGCTAACAGTGTGATTTGTGCTCAGACCGAGATTCCAACTCGTACTCATCAATCTTGGGTGCATTGACACCCTAACTTACTCACACTCACACTCAGACTCGCTCACACTCAGTCCCTCTCATATTCAGACCCACTCGCATAAACTCACTCAGACTCGGACTCACTCAAACTCAGACTCACTCATACCCAGATGTCCTCACTCTCAGATTCACCCGTACCCAGATTCACTCACGCCTTCAGTCGTACTCTGACTCAATCACACTCAGACTCACTCATACCCATACTCAGACTCACTCACACTCAGACTCGCTCATACCCAAGGGAGGGGCAGCCGCCAGGGAGTATGACACGGGCTCATTCGAGCCCAGGTAATCGTGACTTCTCGGGTGGAGTTGCAGTTCTTTGAGTGGTAAACACGTTTCCTGTGAATGCTCCGTGATCGTCGCACAGGATTCGAATTTCCCCCCCACCGGCGAGCCGCCGGAGAGCACATCATGGGCCCGTTCGCGCCCAGATTATCGGGAGGGACCTCCTGGGCAGAACGGCTGCTTTGGGGAAGTCCAAGCGTCTCACTTCAGAGCACCATGATCGCGGCGATGTACCAGGCTGGTAGTTCGGCTTCCCCATGGGGACCCGCGAGGGGGTGAATCACGGCCCGTCAGCGCCCATATCGTCGTGACCTCTCAGATTTCGTTGGGCTTTTTTCCCAGCCATCCTGTGGTTTTGGCCCCTCGTTTTGAAGGAGACGGCGCCTCGCGTCACTCCCTCCCACTGCCCTCCTGAACTCTCGGCATCGTCGTCATCAGCAGTAGCGTGACCATCGTCATCATCATCGTTCTCATTGCTTCCATCATGCGTTGGCCTCGGGCCACTGCGGCACACCCTTCACACGTTTCGTGGCCCCATAGGGAGCTCCACCGAAGCCCCCAGCGGCAGGGTCCGCATGGCGGCCTCGGGCCATTGGGGCGGACTCCTCACGCTTCGCGGACCCATATGGAGCTCCACCGTAGGCGCCAGCGGGAGGGTCCGCATGGCGGCCTCGGGCCATTTCCGCACGCCCCCTCACACGCTTCGCGGCTCCATAGGGAGCTCCACCGAAGGTTCCCAGCGGCAGGGTCCGCTTGTTTGCCTGGGGCCATGTCGGCACACCCGTCACACGCTTCGCGGCCTCGTAGGGAGCTCCACCGAAGGCTCCAGTGGCAGGGTCCACATGGCGGCCTCGGGCCATCTCGGCACAACTCTCAAACGCTTCGCGGTCCCAGAGGGAGCTCCACCGAAGGCACCAGCTGGAGGGGCCTCATGGCGGCCTCGGGCCATCTCGGCACACCCCTCACACGCTTCGCCTTAGGAGCTCCACCGAAGGCTCCAGTGGCAGGGTCCACATGGCGGCCTCGGGCCATTTTTGCACATCCTTCGCGGTAATTGCAGCTGCATATGGTTGGGTCCTTCGCCAGGCTCATTGTTTTTATCCCAACCATCCTGCGGTGTTGGGTCTCCGTTTTGAATCAGCAGCACCCCGCGTCTCCTCTCCTCTCGTCTTCTCTCCTCTCCTCTCCTCTCCTCTCCTCTCCTCTCCTCTCCTCTCCTCTCCTCTCCTCTCCTCTCCTCTCCTCTCCTCTCCTCTCCTCTCCTCTCTCCTCTCCTCTCCTCTCCTCTCCTCTCCTCTCCTCTCCTCTCCTCTCCTCTCCTCTCCTCTCCTCCACCCCATCTCTGCCTCTGCCCTCCACATGTCCTCATGGGAGCTCCACTGACAAGTCGAGGGCCCCAGGAGCATAGAAAACCAACGGGAAAACCATGATTTTGGGCTCTCAGAGCCCTCGTGGGGCGGCTCTTCTTCCTAGGTCGTCTTGGGCGCTTGATCGGCCGACGGGAGGTCATCTTGGGCGTCCTGAATCGAACGTGCGACGATTCGGGGCCCTCCACAACTTCTCGGGGCCCGCTTGTGCCAGCTGCGCTACCCCGTGGAATCCCAGGGAATCCCCCGGCAATCTCCCCAGGACTCCCCAGAAAGCCTTGTGAAACCTCGCAGCTCCTTTATGTCTCAGGGCTGCATGAGCCTTGGAGCACTCCACTTCGTGCTGAAGGCACAGTGGCTGATTTCGGGGAAACGTGGCACTCGAGTTCGCCGGAACTCGGATTTGCCGACGATTTTTGACGGGCCCGTCCTGGATTTTGACGGTCCAGTATTCGGGGGATGTTTGCAGCGGGAGCTCGCGTCAAATTTCAGATTGGGTCTAGTCATTTTCTTGACGACCCCGTCAGGCCAACCCGAGCCGCCGTCCCCGAGTTTCCTGAGATCCGACGTCGCGAACAAATTGCAACACCGTGACAAAGCACGACCGGAGCTCTGGACCCCATCCGTCTGCGTAATTCTTCGAGCTGGATCGATCTGTGACGCCCCCGGGGCTCGACAAAAAACGAGCGAAGACGCCTGGAGGACAAAAATGGCGACGCCCGGATCTCAGAGTCTGACGTCTCTCCGATTCTACTTCCCCAGGCGTCCGGCTGCTCCAACTCTTTCGGTGCGTGGGCCCCAGAGGCCCAGACCTCTTCCTCAGGGCCGGCATTTCGCCCTGCGCCGTCTCTGGACGCTCCCGAGGCCTGGCGGGGGCCCCCCCCGAGGCCGACAGCGGCCAGAAAAACCGCCCGCTCCCATCTTGCTTTCTCTGGAGCGCCGGACCTCTCCGGGGACCCGCGGGCCCGAGAGGTGCCCCCCCGGGCGGAGCAGCCCCCGGCCGAGCCCTCGGCGTGGGCGCCGCAGCAGGCCGCCCGGCAGGCCGCGGCCGCGCCCGCGGCCGCGGCCGCGCCGCCGCGGCGGGAGCCCTCTGGCGGCGCCCCCGCGGCCCCCGTCGCCGCGGCGCAGCCGGCCCCGGCCGAGAGGCTGCCGGCAGCGGCGCCGAAGCCAGCGGCGCTCACCACGGGCCCAAGTAAAACGACACGAAGATCGGGACAAAATCGGATCGGGATAACTCGAAATCTTTGAGAATCGGCGGGTTTGGAGGATGTATTGGGCGCCGCGGCCGCTCCAGAGCGTTCCGGAACGCTCTGAGAGCGCTCCAGAACGCTCTGGAGCGATTTATCCCGATCCTAGCCCTGTTTTACCAAGACCTGCGGATATGGGGCATCCTGGTAGGCAACACCCCCCCGAGGATGGAGCACCTCTCTATGTGGTCGATGTGGTGATCCCATGGATTGCAGAAGATGCGGCACATGCATGTCACCTGCAGAGCTGGCACGCTCTTCACAACTAGCATGCAAGCGTTATAGATCCAACAAGTGACGAGCTGCAACTGCACGATCCACCAACGAAGCAGGGCGGGCATCCCAGTACCGGGCCCAGGGACCAGCAAACATGGATCTGGGACGAAAAACCACCCCCGGGGAAGGGGTTGGGACCTCTGGGGCCGCAGATTGTGAAACAAGTCATAGCGGCGGACGTCTGGGTCCCCGCTCTGGGCTTCCCAGGGCTCTCCGCGGGCCCCAGGACTCTCAGGGAGCGAGGCCGCAGGGAGAATTCGGTCCCGGGGGAATGTCACCGAGCGCGTGGTACTACGCGCAGGAAGTGCCTACCCGTAACCGTCCGAGAACCCACATGTCTGCATCGATGCAAGGAATCGTAACCCCCCTCGGCGGATCCAGGCCATGTGCGAGTAACCGCATGCCGATGAGAATAAAGTACCCCCCCCCCCCTTAAGTCGTTAGAGTTTTTTTATCGTCGACCAATAAGAGTTTGGTCGGGGGCGCGGGGGCGCGGAGGCCGAACTTCATTATCACGGGAAAAGTTCGCCATCGAAGTTACTTCCTTCTTATGTTGAGATAACAACATCAAGCGAAGCGAACACGTTGTTTCAGGATGTCTCAAGCGAAACCAATGTCCTTCTGTCTCTTTGTAGTTCTTTCTGTCTCTCTTTCTTTCTTTCTCTGTCTCTCTTTCTCTCTCTCTCTCTCTTCTCTCTTTCTCCTTCCTGGCCTCTCTGTCTCTCTCTCTCTCTGTCTCTCTATCTCTTTCTCCTCCTCCTCCCCCTGGCGCCCTGAACTTGTTTATCGCTGGGGTTGATTATCCAGGGAAAACGAGGCACGTGAGCTACCCTACACGAGCACTTAAAAATTTTAATTTTCATAACGCGTTTGTACATAAAATTTAATACATTTGAATCTTCAGATTTTTTTGTTTTATCCTCCTTTCCTCTTCTCTTTATCCTTTTCATTTATTATTCTACTTTTATTTTTAAATACATCTTCTCTCTTTAAGTCCTTCCTTTCTTTTTCTTTATGATGTGTCTCTCTTTCTCTCTCTCTCTCTCTCTTTCTCTCTCTCTCTCTCTCCATGCCCCCCTCTGAACTTTTTTATCACTGGGGTTGATTATCCATGGAAAATGAAGCACATGAGCTACCCTACACGAGCACTTAAACATTTTAATTTTCATAAAGCGTTTGTAATAAAATCTAATACATTGGAACTTGAGATTTTTCCTTCTCTTTCTCCTCCTCCTCTGTTTTCTTTTCTTTTTGTTTTTTTCCTTTTTATTTTTCATTTCTTATTGTTTCTTTTTATTTTTGTTTTTGTATATCGCTTTCTCCATTCCTCCGCCCGCCTGAACTTTATTATCGCCGCGGTTGATTATCCAGGGACACCGAGGCGGATGAGCTATTCCGAGGATGTCTCAAGCGAAACAAGCATATACTCGAGGATGTCTCAAGCGAAACAAGCATATACTGAAGGATGTCTCAAGCGAAACGATACGTTTCTTAAGCGAAATAAGCAATAGTTTGACGATGTCTCAAGCGAAATAAGCAATAGTTTGTGGATGTCTCAAGCGAAACAAGGGATTTGTCGAGGATGTCTCCAGCGAGATAAGCCATTGTTGAGGATATTTCTATGAAGACTAAACGCCAAGGATGTCTCCAAACGTGCTCGGCTTGGTCTCCTCTTGATCATCTCTTACTTCGAGATTATGCTGAGGTCTGGTGGGCTACTTTGATTATCTCCCCCTGAACCCCGAACTTTATAATCCCCTAGTGTTTATTCTCGAAGGTATTCGGTTAGTTACGTTGCGAGTAGTGGGGCGCACTTGTCCTGAGGGGAAGGGGCCCTGAGGTTTTGGCCGTTTCTTCGGGCTCCTCGGGGCCCTCCACGGTCCCCGGGACTGTCAGAGGACGACTCAGCCTTGAGATCCAACGTTGCGAAAAAATGGCAACATCGCAAAAAGTCACGACCAGAGCCTCGGACCTTCTATTTCTGCGCCATTTTTTGAGCCGGATCGATCTGCGAGGGTTCCTGGGCCTGGGGCGAAGACGCCCGTTGCGAAACAAGTTGTAATGTTAGGATCTCGTGGAAGATGAAGAGCTCGTCCTGGGGGAAGGCCCCCGGGTCCAGGACCCGTTTCCTTCAGGACCCAGTTCCACCATGCTACAGGCCTCGGAAGAAATTAGCGAACACTCATGCCACATTCATGTGCCAATGCTCCCCCTGGTGATCAATGCTGGCGGTGGGTTGGACGAGTTGCACTTCGACCGCAGTCTTCCCCGCGCGTGCCAACGGTGAGTTTTGGGGGGCGGGGGAGTGTCCACTGCAGCGGAGGCCCACGCCAAGAAACATCCTGCTTGCCTCCAGGGTGCCCTGGGTCTCCTGGGTTCTGGTGGTCTTGCCATGCAAAGCGTGACGCCCCCACGCCAAAAGTCAACGGACGCCCTGGGGTCTCAGAGTTGGGTCTCCTGTGGAAGGTCTCTTGTGGAAGGTCTCTTGTGGAAGGTCTCTTGTGGAAGGTCTCCTGTGGAAGGTCTCTTGTGGAAGGTCTCTTGTGGAAGGTCTCTTGTGGAAGGTCTCTTGTGGAAGGTCTCCTGTGGAAGGTCTCCTGTGGACTGGCCTCCACTCTACCCGCTCCCCTCCACCGCAAGGCGCTGGCCGAGAGGCCGCCGGCAGCCGCGCCGAAGCCGGCGTCGAAACCCGCGAGCTACGTGCCCCCGCACCTGCGGGGGCAGGCCGGCGCCAAGGCCCCCTCGCCGTCGCCCGAGAGGCGGAAGGAGCGGCGGGCGGGAGCTCCTCCTGGTCCTCCTCCTGCTCGTCCTCCTCCTCCTGCTCCTCCTGCTCCTGCTTCTGCTCCTCCTCCTCCTCCTCCTCCTCCTCCTGCTCCTCCTGGTCCTCCTCCTCCTGCTCCTCCTCCTCCTCCTCCTCCTCCTCCTCCTCCTCCTCCTCCCCTGGTCCACTGGTAGGGGTTGCCATGGATCCAGAGAGCCGAGGATCTGTTTTTTTCAATCAGGCGTTTTTTCCTGGACTTCGGCCTTTGGCTCCCGTTCTCGGGCCCGGGGGCCTTAAACGTGGATACGGGACGAAAGGCCAACCCCAGAGAAGGGGCCAGGGACTCTGGGGCTATGATGTTCCAACCTATTTAAGCCTTGACCACCAGAAAGAATTACGAGCACCAAGAAGGTACCGAAACTGTAGGGTTTTCACGTGTCGGGCCCTGGGAGGCGCTTCCCGCTCGACACTGCGCCTGCGTGTCGGGCAGACACGGTTTCGATACCCTTCTGGGTGCTCGCAATCATTTCTGGGATGTGGTGTGGTGCTTAGGTACGACGGGAGCAACACAACTTCTGGGGCCGTGGATGGAAACAAAACATCTATCGGCAGATGTCTGGGCCCCTGGTCCACTGATGGGGGTCGCCATGGGGGGAAGCGGGTCCTGTTGGAACTGGCCCTGGGGTTTTCGCCGTTTTCTCGGGCTCCTCGGGACCCTCCACGGGCCCTGGGACTGTCAGAAGACGACGCAGCCTTGAGATCCGACGTTGCGAAACAAACGCAACGTCACAAAAAGTCACGGCCTGAGCCCCAGACCCCTTCTTTCTGCGCCATGTCTCGAGCCGCATCGATCTGTGAGGACTCCCGGGCCCGAAACGGGGCGAAGGCGCCCGTTGTGAACAAAAGTTGCTTTAACCTCGTGGAGGATGAAGGGCTCGTCCTGGGGGAAGGCCCCCGGGGCCAGGACCCGTTTCCCTCAGGACCCCGTTCCCCCATGCCCACGGGGAGGCGGCCCGCACGCACCCAGGCACCCGCCAGCTCGGACACAGTCGAGGCGAGGCGGCATTCTCTGGTGCTGTCGTGGTGTATGATCTGGGAGGCCCTGCGCGGTCTGAGGTGCCTCTGGCGCTCCTGCGGCCTTCCTCGCTCCTCGCTCCTCGCCCGCCCGCGCCCCCGCGCCTCGATTCGCAGTGGGTGCGTCTCGCTGTTCGCTTGACCGCTTGTTGGACTCCGCTCGCCGCAGACAAGGCAAGCCTGTCGACCGCTCATGTAAACCACCCCAACCCGACCCGAAGGCCCTTGGCCCCGATTTGCCCCACGCTCCCACACCAAAAGCCAATGGACGTCCTTGGGTCTCAGGGTTGGGCTTCTTATCGAAGCATTCTTGTGGTCTGGCCCCGACTGCACTTCCTGCTCTGGGATCTTCGGCCCCCTGGTCCCGTTCCTGTCGGTCTGGGTCTTCGCCTGAGGTGTGTGTGTGTGTGTGTGTGTTTGTGTGTTTGTTTGTTTGTGTGTGTGTGTGTGTGTGTGTGTGAACGGCCGCGGCGCCTGATACATCCTCCAGAACCGCATGATCTCGGAGATCCCCCACCTTTCGGCCACGCGCAGAAGGGGGGTCGGGGGAGGGGGGAAGGCTTCTTAGAAGCAGCCCCTGCTTCTCAGAAGGCGCGCGGGCCTGGTCTGCAGGTGTAGGGCGGGCGCTTGCTAAGAGGCAGCCTCCTTCCAAGAAGCCTTCCCCCCTCCCCCTA